TTTTTTTTATATTTTTTTTTTATAATTGTTTTAAGGTTTTGGGTTTCTTTGTTAACCCCTTTTGATTTGGATAGTCTGAAAATTTACAGTTTTGGCTTTGGTTGAACTATGATCAAAATGGTCGGGTTGTGAATTTCTCTGGTTTCTAATTTTGCAGATGTTTGGTCTTTTGTTGTAAACGATTTTGAAACCTCAAGTCCAGTACATGCCTTCTGTTTTGTTGCTTTGACACCATTTCTTATGACATGTTGATTGGACATAACTTGTTGCATTATTTGTTCTTGTAGTTGCTGTCATATAAAGAGTTTTTTTTTAGGTATTTTTTTTATTTGTAGGTTTGAGACTTGAAGTTTGTTGATCAATAACATATTTGTCAAGGTAGATACCCCTGCATAGATTATCCATGAATAAAATTAGCAAGAATGTGTTCATTTTAAAACTTTAGATGCTAATGTTGGATAATTGAGAGGAGTAATGTGGTAAATGTTGTACCAATATTTCATAATTTTCAGCAATTTAGAACTTCTCCTTTCCAAAGCTTGGCCACTGCGAATTTTGGTATTGCCAATGGATGCCACAGCTAGTGGAACCCCAACTATACAATACCATAACATTCTTGACCAGCTAATTACCACTATTGTTGTTGCCACTCCTGTACCAACATTCAAAATGAGGCAATGCCATCGCTTTGGGACCTTAATCCCCAGAGAACTCTCTTTAGCTGCCAACCCCTCAATTGTCCTTCATGTCCTTACTGCATGCAATTTGGATCCTTAAGACCTTGCAAAGCTAGAGGCAAGTGACCTGTTGCTCTAAAGTTTGGCAATGTATTGGTCTTTTAAATCTTAGAATTGATAATGCTGCTGGTTTGATTTTGGATGTGTGTGTTGCAGGCAATATGCTCATTTTTCTGGCAGTCTGCAAACTTTGCTCCTGACTTTGAATTGTCCATATCAGAGCTTGCTACTCTAGACATGTGCCAAAAGAGTGGTATATTTAAGCCAATGACAGTGGAGAAACGTCAAGAATTGAAGCAAAGATGTGGGGGTTTCATGAAAACTGGTCTTGAAGTTCTTGTTGGCTAGAGAGGCATGTTTCAGAACGGAGAAATCACAGGCAATAGTAGGGCTGGGTCACAGCATTACTGTAACTTCAAAAGGAGCTATCTATTCATTTGGCTCTAACAACTCAGGACAGCTTGGACATGGCACCACTGAAGAGGAAAGGAGGCCTTGGCAAATCAGGTTGCCAATTCTTGATCACTCCTTAGACCTAATTCTGTAAAATGCAAGAAAAAGAAAAGAGAACTAGTTGACTTAAAAGAAAAGTTAATGGAACTCCGTTATGTTGCAGATCTCTGCAAGGCATTCAAATTGTTCAAGCAGCTGCTGGGGCTGGCAGGACAATGATGATCAGTGATGCTGGGAAAGTTTATGCCTTTGGAAACTCAAGATGATTCTATGACGTAGTAATAACAAGATAGTTCTATGATATAGTATAAACAATGTACTTTTATGAAATGGTATTAACAATATTTTTCTATGGAATGGTATTAACAATGTACTCCTATGGAATTGTATTAATAATGTACTCCTATGGAATGATATTAACAATGTATTTCTAAGACATGGTATTAACACTGTACTTCTATGAAATGGTATTAACAATATTTTTCTATGGAATGGTATTAACAATGTACTCCTATGGAATTGTATTAATAATGTACTCCTATGGAATGATATTAACAATGTATTTCTAAGACATGGTATTAACACTGTACTTCTATGAAATGGTATTAACAATATTTTTCTATGGAATGGTATTAACAATGTACTCCTATGGAATTGTATTAATAATGTACTCCTATGGAATGATATTAACAATGTATTTCTAAGACATGGTATTAACACTGTACTTCTATGAAATGGTATTAACAATATTTTTCTATGGAATGGTATTAACAATGTACTCCTATGGAATTGTATTAATAATGTACTCCTATGGAATGATATTAACAATGTATTTCTAAGACATGGTATTAACACTGTACTTCTATGAAATGGTATTAACAATATTTTTCTATGGAATGGTATTAACAATGTATTTCTATGGAATGATATTAACAATGTACTTCTATGACATGGTATTAACACTGTATTTTTATGACATGGTATTAACAATGTATTTCGGGCTTGCTGGGCTTGTTTTGGGTTTTTTTGAGTTTTTTTGTGTTGGGCTTGTTTTAAGTTAATCAATGGCAGAGATGTAATTTATAGTAACTTCAACACTTATTCCATATGTAATAAATGGTTTTTGGGTATGTTTCTAAATTGAATTTCATGTAGGGTTTTTTTATAATTTCAGCTCCTATTTTGGGTGTATTACTAAAGCTCCAAACATTTTACTCAAATTTATGATAGAGACATATTAATTTATGTGAAAGCAAAGGACTTGGACTTTTCTATCAACGACAGCTAGGGGTTGTGTAATAATAAACTTGTAGTCATGCATATTAGGTATGCTTTTTTCATCCAAATAAAGGGCAAAAAAGGGTTTTCACATTTGTGAAATCTACTTTTACGCCTTCTTTTAGATTACTAAAAGACCATGACTTCACACGATAGATTTTTTACCGACTACATGAATATCTTTAATCTAAGGCAGTCAAATCAAAATGAGTTCTAAAGATAAGAAAGAAAGAAATGCATGTACTTTCTATAGTTTCAACAAAGTAGTCTAGATTATATCTGCAGCGTATATATATATCTAATTTCAAATGAAAGCAGAGAGCTTTTAAGCCTCCAACAATTATACATATATGGGTATTTCCAATTCATGTTGGCAAAAATAGAGAACTTTTATATAATTTGATTTTAGCTAATTCGGGAATTAGATGAAACAATTTACATAAGGAGTTGACTACATAATTAGCATGAAATTTTGTTTTTCTCGTAATATTGAATGGAAAAATATACTTGACTTCTTATATGTAATCAGTCATTTCTCTTAACAAACAAACTACATTTTAACATACCAACGGGGTCTAGTCCAGTAAAAGAGGTCCTCGACTTGCAGACCATTGGTCACATGTCGAACCACCATTACACTTTGGTAGTGTGTTTGAGAAACCCACATCTCCCTTGTAGTTTAGACTATCTCTTTTATTATAATATAAAAAACAAAGTTTCACATGTACTGTGTAAAAACTTTTTTGTTTGTTGTTGTGATTTTAATCAATTACCCGGGAAAATTTGTATATATTAAATTTCGTTTTCGAATTCGTTATGTTGAATTGATTAAGTGGATTAGCTGGGTAAGCGTGGTGGATAGTTTTGAGTGGCCGAACCGTGTGATGGTCAAAAGGTTTTGATTCTTGAAATTCATTTGCTACTTGCTGGCGATATTGACTCATTCTCTGGGTGTTGAGACTACTTAATCACTGGATAAGAATGCCTTTAAAAATAAAAAAATAAAAAGTTGTCAAACCCACTAGTAATTAGAAACTGATTAATATCTCTTAATAATATATTAGTTCCGTATTAATTCAAATGCCACAACCAAAAAATTAAAAACAAGGGAAAATTAAGGGGGTGTATTCAATTGGGATTTTAAAAGACTATTTTGGGATAAATAAGTCTTGTGGTATTCAATTAAGATTTTTAAATAATGAGAAAATTAAGTATTCTACCTCGACTTGTCACCCTCTTGCTGTGTTGGTTCAAAGCTGTTGTGTTCTTATGAGGCGTATTGGCAATTGTCATCTGGGTTAGCTCTTTCTTGGTGTGGATGATTTGTTAGGCGTTGTTAGGCCTCACTTGATCTGTATTAGTTAGTTGTCATTTCTTTTTTGGATTTTGTCCCCTATCTCATAAAAAAAAGTATAAGTGAAAATGAGATGTATATTCTTTTATTAAAAAAATTAAAATAAAGAATACCATTGGTCCATTGGCATGACTAATTCTGCGAAACCGCGGTGCTTGATCTGACTTTATAAAAAGAAAACTAAAATAATTATTGTTTCCATATGCATATGAACTCACAATAGTAATATTCTAGGACAAAGGTCCCTATAAATATAAGTACAGATCACAGGAAGAGTTCTACTTTCATAGATTCATAGAGTTTTCCATCCCAAAAACTCAACGCTTTCCATTTTGTTTTGGTCATAAATATATACCCTCCAATATGAAGGTACATTTTATGCAAGTACGTTGCCTTCATTTTCTTTTTTCATGTATACATATATTTATGTGTTTGTTGTTTTGCAGCAAAAGATATTAGTGAAGGTGCAAATGCACTGTGACAAATGCCGAACCAAGCCCTTGAAGATTGCAGCATCTGCATACGGTATATATATATATCCATGATCCATCAAAATTTCTTTCAACTTTTTCAGATATATTAATTGGAGTTGATAACATGAGCAGGTGTGAGCAAAGTGTCGATAGAAGGAGCAAACAGGGATCATGTGGAGGTGATTGGAGACGGCGTGGACTCGGTTTGCCTGACGGAGTTGCTAAGGAAGAAGCTTGGCTTCGCGGCCATAGTAAAAGTTGAACAAGTGAAAGGAGATAAAAAAGAGGAAAAACCAACTGCATGCTATGTTCAGTATTGTGCTCCGCAGTGTCCTCCAATGTACTGTGAAGTGGTTCGTGAATATCCAGAGCCAACTTGCTCCATCATGTAATTGTCCTAGGAAGTTTTATTTAATTTCATGATTATATCAATTTAATTTCAGTATTTTAATTCATGATTGAAAAGTTGATTATATATGTACAAAATGGGCACATCCACCTCAGCTAGTTTGTCATTTCATATCGAGCAAATTTGACTTTCATTTTTGCTGATGCTAAATGGAGTTGTTGATTTCTGTAGAAAGTTATGACCCAAAGAGGGTAAATTTCACTACGAGAACGTAACTTTTACTGATGACACCAATTTCATTACCCGAACTTTTAATTTTGAGTATAAAGTTTTCACTTCAGGCTTAAATAAGTTATAAGTGATGCCTGGATTGCTACATATATTTCCTCATTTTCATATGCAAATATTTAATATCTATGTGGCGTAGCCATCATATCTAACAGATATATAAACTACTAAAATATGAGAGAATATTATTTATGGGAATTTTCTATATATTATTTTCTTTATAGCAAGAGGTCATATTTATAATACAAGAAAGTCTACGTAGGCCAAGGAAAAGTAATAACTCCTTATTTTATTAGTGGTAGAAAATCAAAAATAAAAGGAAATCAATTACAATTGATATGAGAATTCTTGACGTGCAAGGAAAGTCACAAGTCTTGCCAACAAAGACTTTGACTTTGTTTTATCGCTAATTTTCAAAATAAAAAAAAGACTTTGACTTTGTTATGATATATATGTTATATTATATAATATTTGTATGTAGGAGATGTATATTTAATGACAGCTAGTGCAGGTTGGAATAACAAACTTGTAGTCATGGATATTAGGTACGCTTTCTCATCCAAATAAAGGAGAAAAAGAAAGGATTTCGCAATACGAAATCTGCTTTTTACGAGTTGTTATAGATTACTAAAAGACTTTGACTTCGCTGTTCCAATGTAAATGATCTAAAAGATATAATCACCATGACGAGAATTAATTACTTTCATAAACATGTATGAACCACTTAAATAATTAAGTTATAAGTGATTTAGCGGACATATGAGGACGATTTTTCTCGTATATGTTTCAAACGATTTTCTAATTACACGTTGAAAACTATTCTAGAGAAACCTATGATGGAGAGAATTTTAGTTTTCAGTTTAGCTCTTGGAACCCTATACCAGAGGTAATTTCCTATTATAGAGAGCCAACTTTGCTAGATACCTTGCTTTCAAATCGAATTTGTATTATCTTAGAAAAACCTATGATCATATGGCAGGTAGTATATTGCAAATCAACTATCAATATGAGACAAAGGGGTTTGGGTCATTATCAAAGGAAATGTGGACAATATATATATCTTGTGGGAGATCATACCACACTGTGGAGGTAGGTTGGTAGTCATAAAGAATCAATCATATTCTTCACTTCTCATCTTGCCTAATTTTAATATACAAATATTAAATATCTCATGTGACATAGTCATGCATGTAATTTATATTTTCTAAACAAATGTTTTCCCATGGGCTCTTCACATTATCTATCTCTTCTATTCTAACATAGGAATAAAAGATAAAGAAGCTTAACCACCCTTTATTGATGATCAAATTCCATAGCTACAAAAGAGAAAAACCAAACTTGAAAAGAACAAATAGGTGTGAGCAAAGTGTCCATCGAAGGAGCAGACAAAGATCACATTGAGGTGATTGGAGATGGGGTTGATTCTGTTTGCTTGACCAGATTGTTAAGGAAGAAGCTTCGCTCTGCCACCATTGTCAAAGTTGAAGAAGTGAAGGAAGCTAAAGCTGATAAGAAAGAGGAAAAGCCAACTCCACCAGTTCAATGGATATCATCAGCCAGCTATTGTGCTCCGCAGTGTCCTTCAATGTATTATGGAGTGGTTTGTGAATATCCAGAACCAAACAACTGCTCTGTCATGTAATTGTCCTTGACATTTTAATTCAAATTTGAAGACCAATCATGTAATTTTTTACTTGGCATTTTAATTTAAATTCGAAGATCATTATCAAACAACTGCATTTCATTGAGTTACTTTCTCATTGACCTCTAAACTGTTCGGGTACATTAATTCTCATTATGATTTGAAAGTTTGTTAGTGTTGATGGTTTTAGGTATGTGATGACATTTTTTCTTACAATAATAAACCTTTTCCCTAAGATTAATCAAGTTTTGTAGAAGATAAGTTCGATACCTAAACTTGTGCACATTTGTGCTCTATAATGCAAGCACTTGGACGATATCTTAATGTACTAACTGAATAACAAATATGAACTTCTCACAGAGAGAGAGTTTAATTTAGATCATACTTTTGTGTTTTAATATTATTATTTATTTTCTTTAGTATGATTTGAATAACTCCAAGATTGTACATTTGTATTGATTAAAGTTCAAAACGGAGGGAGATACAAATTATTAACACCGCGTAAAGATTTGAAGCTGCTGGATGGTATCTTACCTCTTAATCGTCAACTTGTGTGTGGACTCCAATTTAAGTTGGTTCATGTACGGAGTCAAGAAGTATGTCTTGTTATGTGCGTAGACTGTGAGGATGATTCCAAGAATGGAGTAAAGAGTAATGCAGAGATTTATGTCATTCATTTCGGATTTGAACTTCTACCGAGTAGAGATGCCTTAGGCTTCAAAATGGTCTATCCTCTTATTTAGTATACATCGGTCATCCGTACCTAGCACCACTGGAATATACATTCACGGTGCCTTAATGTACTGAGTCCATAACCGAGATGAGCTTTTCATAAAGAAAGAGTTTAATTTAGATCAAACTTTTGTTTTTTATTTATTTATTATGATTTATTTTCTTTAGTTTGATTTGAACAACTCCAATATCGTGCTTTTCTGTTGATCATAGTTCAAAATGAGGGGATATGCAAATTATTGACACCTCTTTAAGATTTTAAGATGTTGGAAGATATCTTACCTCTTAATCATCAACGTGTGCGAGGACTCCAATTTAAGTTGGTTCATGTACATGGTCAAGAAGTATGCCATTGACTTAAATGCTACTGAGGCGGCCGGCATCATTCTCTTGTCCTTCCTTAAATAAAGTGCTTGGTACAAAGGTATGTTGATGACAATCAAAACCCCACGCACATAGAAGAATTTGCAAAGCCATCGTCTCATAAACGTGTGCTATATATATGTCCTTTGATCCCGTGATTGCTTCTTTTACAAGCTCAGCAAAGCAGTACAAATTTCTGGACCAGGGAGCCAAAGGTGAATAGAGTGATTTTGATTTGTTTCAGGAAATTACCTAAGACTGCGTTCTGGACCACATATCCAAGATTAACTTGTCACGAGTAACAATAATCTTATGGTAAAAGATTAAAGGGGATGTAAAGAAAAAAAGGTACCAATTGAATCAACCTATGCTTCCGAGTCAAGAGAACTATAAACTTGGATATTTAGTCCAGCAATACCTAAAAATGGACCCGCCAAAAGGCCGAAGCAATAGCTAGCTACTAAGATACCTTTCAGAGATGCTGCAAAAGCTTCCTCAGGGGAAGATCGTTCTGATGTTGATGTAGAAATAAAAAGAGTTAACACCAAACTCTTATTCATAATTTTAAAAATAAAAATTCATAATCTTAACAAAATCGCTATTATTAACTATGTGAAGAAAATTACTTCAACAAACAATAAGAGAGGAAAGTTTTGCTATATTTCTCACGTGCTTGCTTACTCAACTGTGCTTTTGAGTTGTACAATAGGTATTGGTGATAGTTGGTTTCAAATTTTGGATGGGCGGTAACTATTTGACTATATGGTTTTTTTTTTGGTCAAGACTACATGATATTTAATAATGAAAAAAAATTTAGTGGGGAGGGTTTTTGCAGACAGTAAACTTATAGACAGAGACAATGAAATACATCTATTGCAAGACAGTGAGTACATCTAAATTCTAATGAGTTGTTTATTAGGCTCAACCGAAAAACCAACATTTTTGTCTAGAGCTATGAGGGGTTAGGTTATAAGTAGTTAATTTTTATGTATATGGATGGAGGTAAATGACATTTTTACCCTTGCAGGAAGTCAAATCCGGCATTCGTTGGGCCAAGAAATTAACCAAAGTTCACGGATGCGTTCAAATTGGAACTGTCTGTGAATTAGAGAGAACAAAATTGAAGCAAGAGTCATTCTATAGTGAGGACCTTATATATGGTCCTTAGATGAGATCCTATCTCTTAACCATTGAATCAAGCTAACCAATTTGATCTAACGGTTAAGAAATAGAGCCCCACCTAAAAGTCATATATAAGACCCTTGTTGATTATGGCTCAACTTGCACCGAAAGAACTTTGTGCTATCATGTGGGAGGATGCTGTCATGTGGGGGCAGCAGCTTTGCAGGTGAATAACAACTTTGCAGCGCCTTTGCAGAGGAATATTGAAGCTTTGGCAGAAGATGGGAGCACGTGGGAGACAAAAGCCATGCAAACTTGGCTGGCTTTCTGACTTCATAGTTGGCCTCATAATTTGACTAGCTGGCCTTCACCCGTTGGCTTCTCTATAAATTGAGAAGTATGGCAGCAGCTGAAGAAGGAGAGTAGAGGGAGAGAAACAGCAAGAAGCCATTCGGCAGAGAGAAGAAAATTCTCTCAAGTTGTCTTTGCTTTGTATTTTCAGTTTCTCTTCCTATTGTAAATGTGTGAGCTTGGGTTATTTGGGTCTTTGGGAAATTGAGTGATAAACACTGTTGTATGTTCTCATTGATTATAGTGGAATACTCCGTCGTCTCCAAACTGGATGTAGGCATTGCCGAACCAGTATAAATCTTGGTGTTCTTGTTGGTGTTGTTTGTGTTCATTTTATCTCCTGCTAGTTGTGTTTATTTTCACTCGCACTTGGTTGACGCTTCCGCACAACAAGACCCTCACTATAAAATTCTTATTCGAAGCAATTAAAAGTACTTAATAAAAAAACAAGCATGGGTTGGTGCTAGCCCCAAAATTGTTTAATACCCACATTGTCAAAAACATGTACGGTTTTGTGGGTTGAATTGAATAACCCAAATAGCAGAAGCATGAGTAGCCCATTAATTTCTGGGCTACCGCCATTCATGTGAAATGACTTTAATAGAATTATGATATCGAACATGTTATTATAAGCATCAAATTTTAGATTAAGAAGGTATGTAAACATGACTCAAACCTAATTAGAGAACACGACAAGCAGAGGTGGTGGTCTTTAATAATTTGGCGCTGCTGAGTGCATAGTCTATGTCCAATCAACAATTAATAT